GCAACAGACAGTAGGTTAGGGAAAAATCTTGCCTCTCACCTCCCAGGCATGAAGATGAGACCAGGGCTGCATCACCCACCACTGGTGAGGGGCTCAAGGGGTGAGAGCAGGACCAGAGCCCTTCACCTCCCCTCTACCACACTGTCAAACCCAGTGACTTGGCTCAGCACACCAGCATTATCTCTTAGACACAACTCCTTGTCCTCAATCACCCTGTCTCCCAGTGCTCCCAGTCCAGGCAGGAGCCAGCATCTTCCCTTTGGTCGTGCTCCACTCCTGCTTCCAGACTGAGAAGTTACTCCTAGTTGTCACCAAGAGGTGCCTCTGCTCCCTTCCATCCCAGCTCCTTATGCAAAGCCTTTGCCAAATGCCACAGCCAAGCTCTGAGGGTCCGTGCCAGACACAAGTGAAGCCTTGAGCCAGCTTAGCTCTGCCCCAGACTCCAAAGCAGCCATTAACTCCAGGGACCAGCATAAAAATGGTCCCTGCATACCCAGCCATCAGCACCTGGCAGAACTGTGGCAGCCCCTGGGTTATTTTAGCCCAAACATGTGACACCAGTTGCTAATTTGAGGTGATCATGGGGCCTATGGTCCCTCACTGACACAGGGCTCACCCCCTGCTGAGGCTCTGTGCACAGCCTGCTCTGCTCCATGGTGTGTGGGGGCTCCCCTCTGTGCCACAGCCCCCTCCACCAACCTCCAAGGGCCAGGGTTGGTGCCAGGAGGTAGCTGGAAAGGCCAGCCAGCACCTCCCATCACCTGCATGCCCTGTCCCACACCCTCCACCTGGTGTCTGCCTGCTCAGCCTCCTGTGACTCCCCCAGGAGTCCCTGCTCTCATCCCCTCACCAGGCTCCTGAGCTGTGGAAGCCCCTGAGCCCCTCATGCCCACCCCCAGGTCAGGCTCTGACCTGTGTGTGTGCAATGACACGGATGACCTTGCAGTACTTCTTCATCATGGCAAAGTCCTTCTCCAGCTGCCTTTTGCCATCCTCATCCTGCCACTTCTTGCAGTACTTGGTGAAGGCCTTCTTCTTGCTCTTGTGCCTGCAACAAAAGTGTTTCCCATCCAGCAGGGCTGAACAGTGAAGGGTTTCTGCACTTCCCTGAGACAACATGGGGGGACAGATCACCTTGCCAGGCAGTTCTCAGGGGACACAAGGAACCTGTGGGTACCTGACTGTCAGGGCCATGACACAGGGCTCTGAAGTGGGGAAGAGGAAAGTGAATAATCAGCTGTGAAAAGTGCTGGTAATTCAAGCCTTTTTGCATGAGGAATCCAGTTGTCTCACACTGACTGGCTGAGCGCCACCCAAATACAAGCCCAAAATTCAGAGCTGGAGTGGGGAGAGGAGAAAACAGCCCCCAGCAAGGATCAGAGGCATGTGGTGGGTGGATCTCAACAGTGTTGCTGCAGGAGACACGGTTCCTACAGTTACCAAATTCATGTTTCCATTTTCCTCCCTGCTGGTGTGGGATTCGGGGGTGTTGAAGTTTACACGGGCCAGGGGTCACATCCTGCATCAGTTTTCCCCCTGACAAATCTGCCTCGACGCCCCTCATTTGGTGCCTCAGCTCCTGGATCACAGTTTAACGAGGCAGAGATGGGCCCGACCCACACAAAGGAAAACGAACCCATAGCCTGTGCTGCCATCTGATCCTGTGCAGAGAGCTTAGTTCAGCTATTAGAATAAATTTGCATACGCGTATGTGGATCCTCAGCATCAAGCTGCTTGCAGTATCTCTGTGCATGACTAAGTAAACAGCAGTTTCCCTCCCCCCCAGAGCCAGCTGCTGGTAGCTGAGCTGTTTTCAGTGGCAGGGCACCATGGAGAGCCTGTGGGGACAACCCGTGAGGGGCTCCCCCCCTGCAGACCCCAGGGACCCCCCCAGCCCCAGGGGTCACCCACCAGTTCTTGTAGAAGCGCCGGCGACACTCGTCACTGATGTGCTCAGCAAAGACAGTCTTGAAATTCCTCAAGCCTTTGGGTGTTTCTATGTACCCCACAACTCCCACCACCACCATTGGGGGGGTCTCAATGATGGTCACAGCCTCCACCTCCTCCCTTTTGGAGACCTCTGCAAGACAGCAAAGAGAAAGGGTGCTCAGCCAGATCAGTCCGTGGAGCCATTCGTGGCCTGTGCCACTGGAGCAAGGATTGTGGTGGGGACAAGGTCACCCTCTGCTCTCCCAGCCACCCTCAACCCTTCCACCTCCCACCTGCTGGAGGACCATGCAGGGTTCCATCCCCAGCCAGTGCACAGGTCAGACCCTGCACAGTTTCACCCATCCTGCCCAGGCTGGGGGCAGCAATGCAGCCTGGAGTCTGGCCCCAGTCCTGTGGGCATTCCAGAGGGTAACGCTATAAACTTCCCCAGCAAGACACCCCAAACCCAGGATGTGTCAGGTAGTTGCTCTGCAGGGTACTTCTCCCAGCAGGACCCAACCAACCACCATCACCATGCCAATGTGGGGACCTCCCAGGAACCCCCAGACTCGGCTCAGGCTGGCTGTGAGGTGGCTTTTGGCCACCCAAGATCTGGATGGCATTCCAGGAGCAGCTTCGTGCTCCACTGTCCGTTCCCAATAGCAGCCTCTCCCACCACCAAGTCCACTCCCACATTCCCCCCTTGCTTCCATCAGCCAAGCCTTACTGAGCCCAGGCCTGTGCACCTCCCGCACGGTGTGTGTCATGCCAGCTTTGTAGCCCAGGAAAGCTGTCAGGTGGACTGGTTTGCTGGGATCATCCTTAGGCCAGGCCTTCACCTTCCCGCGGTGGCGGCGGCTCCTCTTGTGCGGGAGGAAGCCCAGGTGGCCGTGCCTGGGGGCAGAGAACTTGCGGTGGGACTGTGGAGAGGAAGAACAAAAGAGATCAGCCCCACTCTCAGGTCCCAGAATGTGTCAGGAAACATGTCAGCACAACAGGAAATGTCCCCTTTAACATCAGTGACTGCTGGAGGGCTCTTCCTCAATTCCAACATGAGAAAAAGAAGCTCATAAGGAGGGATTTTTTTAAGCTTCTGTCATGTTCACTGAAGAATTTAGGAAGTTTCTGGACAAATTATGCCTATTAACTGAAAAAAAAACACCTTCAACGTAGTGTTCCTCCTTCTGCTTGAGGCCTTTGAAGGAGAAATATGTTCTTTAATAGGTCTGCCCCACTGTGATGTTAATTATAACGACTTTATTTTGTGTTTTGCAACAACAAAAGGGGCCTGCTCAGAATTCCTGGGCTTCGTGTCATGAAGGCAAATGGCACCAAACGAGCTCACGGTCAGAAGGGGGAGGAAGCCCAAAGGAATCAGCAATAAGAACATGCCCAGGTTAAGTGTGCACCTTGACAACCGAATTAGAAGAGCTAAATCTATAAACCCCGATCGCACGGTCATGCTGAGCCAGGCAGAGGGAAGCAGCAGCCCCTGAGAGACGTGGACAAGTCCTCACACAAGTGGTTTCCAGGCAGGGGAGCCGGGCTCAGCCCAGCAGAGCAGGGCGAGAGCCACGTCCCCTGGGTCTCCCCCCTGGCTCAGAGCAGCCCCAGGACCTGCCTGCACGTCCCACCAGGCCTCCTGTCCAGCCCCAGGACCTGCCTGCACGTCCCACCAGGCCTCCTGTCCAGCCCCAGGACCTGCCTGCACGTCCCACCAGGCG